TTAAATTCACTGGGTACAAAATTGATACGTAACTGGTTATATCAAACTGTCACCAAAGTGATAGGACAAAATGCCTTTCCAACACAAGGGAAAAAACAGCTAGACAATGGAGCAATCAGATCACCACCCAAGGAACTGAAGAACTTCGCTGACTCACAAAGAAAATAGATAATACTCTCTCTTCTATGATGTTGTCAACAAAAATACAGAATCCATCCGTCATTCATTAAAGCTACGTGTTCTAAAGAGCTGTGGACCTAGCTCAGGACCTGAGCTACTGTGAGAGGAGGAAGCAAACAGGAAAACATTAATGCTAAGAGCTCCCTATGAAAGGGTCTGCCCAGCAGCTTCACTGTGTGACTGCCAGGATTATATGCCTGTCCTAGACTCAAAGACATATGCACACCCAGACACAATGTGCCACTGATCCTGTGCATGTTCTCTCAGGAGAACACACCTGAGAGAAAACTGGAAAATATGAGTGATGGGATATATTATGAAGTTATTTATTTAAATCATGATGGTTTTATTTTAATATAAGAAAAAGTCTTATTTTTTACTTTTTAAAAAATAAACTAGAAAACAAAATATCAAATGAACATAACTAATTCATAGGTTTGAAAAAGAAGGAAGAACAAAATAAAAGAGAAAATGAAGCTTGACAAATTGAACAAATCTCACCTCCCCCCCCAAAAAAAAAATGAGTAAAAAAATTAATGGCATTTCAACACACTTTACAATTACAAAAAGTATAGTAAAAGTGTGAGCAATTTAGCATCAAATAATATTACATGAAGACGTCAGGAGGGCAGAGCACAGATAACTGTTTCTCTCCCAACATCTGGGTGCCTGGGGCTAAATGTAGAATCAAAGCCTGTAACTTGGGGATAGTGTTAAATGCTGCTTAAATCTCAAGTCTGGGAGCAAAAAAAGGTGGAACCACTCATGCATGAGGAGGGGATAGAACCATTCATGCAGGAGAAGGGGGTAGAACCTCTCTGGCAGGAGGAAGAGATGGAACCTCTCTTGCAGGAAGAGAAGATGGAATCATTCTTGCAGGGTGAGGGATGGAATCACTCTTGCAAGGTGGTCTTCAGCCTCCTCCTCTTCCTCCCCACTAATTCTGCTCCACTTCTGGTTTGGATGACTTCCAGAACAGACACTAACAATGAGGCAGGTTATAAAGCAAGGCCCCTAGCCCCTCGCCACTGTTCGCTCATTACCACTGCTATTGTGAGAGGCCCCAGTTAAGCTAGATGCTGGCAATCCACAGAAAAGAACATGATCAGCTCCCAGCAACATCTACTTACTCTCCAAAACTCCAAGTGGTTCATAAAACACAAACCTTAAAACCAGGCTCAGTGGTTCACTATGTACAGGTGATTGCTGCATAAGCCTGGAGACCTGAGCTCAACCCAAGACACAATGCGACGGGGGAAGAAGAAAACTGACTCCACACAATTGTCCTCTGACTTCCGCCTATGTGTAGCATGCAAGCACTCACATACATTCACAATAATTTTTTTTAGAGAATGAAAATAAAATGAGCAAGGTGGTGATTCATGCCTGTAATCTCAGCACCTTGGGAGACTAAAGCAGGAGGCTACCACAAGCAACAGGTCATACTGCAGAATGTGAGTTCTCAGCCAACCTGGGACACATAGATTCGCCTGCTTCTGTCTCCTGAGTGCTGTCCAATGAAAACTTTTTAAAACTTATACATGTATTTGCTCTTTAATTCTTTAGATTATATTCCTGTGGCAAATTAGCTTTACTAGTGTGTGCATGTGTTTGAGGGAACGTGTGGGCACTGGACATGACATGTGTGCACCCAGAAGCCTAGGGACAACCTTGAGTGTCATTTCTCAGGAACCATTCACCTTGTTTTGTAAGACAGTCTCTTTCTCACTAGAAGCAGTAAGGCTTTCTAGCCACTTGTCTCCCTTTCCCAGCACTGGTATTGATTACAAACATACACCCTAGGGACTGGCTCCCCAACCCCAACAGGGTCTAGACTCATGTCCTCAAGCTCATGCTTAACTAACCAACTGAACTACCTGCAGCCCAAGTAGATTAACTTTCGATTCAAGTTAATGCGAAGAGTACCTAGCTTTTGTTTTTTATGTTAGCACCATAAGCAAACAAAATAACTGTGGGGTTTTGTTTTGTTTTGGTAGTATTCGGAATCAGTCATGGGGCTAGGTGCACGCCCCCACATACTATGCAATACAGTATGGTAAAGCAGCCAGATCGTAGAGCACAGGCCTAGCTCAGCTTTCACTGCATGGCAGCAGGGTCTTCCCCTTCCTTGGATCAGGATTCGTGCCAAGCCTTTAGGATCATAATCTGATCTCCCTGAAGTGCTTAACACAGGAAGCTGAGTTTCCTGAGTTTCATTCATCTTTCTTGCTAATCTTCTCCCATACAGTTCGGTACCAATGAAGAGAAACTCCCATCTCCTCCCTCCCTGTCACCCTTCCCCCAGGTACAATGCAAAGCAATACCCAGCCATTGAGAGGGAAATTGAGTGCATCCCAGAAAGATAGAGATAGAGATAGAGATAGATAGATAGAGAGAGAGAGAGAGAGAGAGAGAGAATAACCAACCACACTCCAAACAGCCCAGAGACCAAGAAGAAAGCATTCTACTCATCGTAGGCATGGAACCTCCAGCAGCCTATGGAGCACAAAAGCCTTATGTGGACTTGACACTGTCAGCACTAGTCTTCTTGGGTGGTCTGACTTTTCTAATGACTGGCCCTACATCTGCTGCAGAGGAGCAGTTATGAACCTAGCTCCTTGTCCACCCAGAAGTGCTCTATCTATCCCACCCTCATCCCTATCACCTGAGAAATCACAGCACAAACCTGTGACTTGCAGGGTTTGAGACAATGACTTCTACATGTGACAGGGAAACTACAAATGAAATCTTGATAACATGATTACCTAAGCAAGACCTGCAGAACACCACCACCAGCTGCCATGCCAGTTAGAAAAACCTCACAGTGGTCCTACACTAGAAGAAGAGATTTGGAAATTAATGATTACTGAGAGAGGGAGAGAATAGGTTTCCTCTGAGGATGAGCACTCTGACAGTTTATCTAACCCCAAATATTAGCAACAGTAAATGGACTCAGCAGGAAACATAGATTGATGGTGATGATGATGATGATGATGATGATGATGATGATGATGTGTGTTAGCTATTTTTCTGTTGCTGTGATAAGACAGCATGACCAAGGCAACCTATAGAAGAGTTTATTTGGGGCTTACATTTTTAAAGGGTTATAGTCCATGATGGTGCAATGGAAGTAGCAGGTGGCAGGCAGCTAGAGCAGGATCTGAGAGTTCACATCGCAACCCATAAACAGGAAGCACAGAATGAACTTGGGGGGGGGGTGGCAGTGCTGGAGGCTTTTGAAGCCTCAGAACCAAGCCCTGTCTGTGACACACCTTCTCCAGCAAGACCACACTTCCTAATCCTTCCCAAACTGTTCCACTGATTGGGGGCCAACTACTCAAACATATACATTTATGGGGGTATTTCCAAACCACCAAATTCCATAAGAATAATTAAAGGAGATGAGGTCATGAATTTGAGAGAGAGGTGGGAAGAATTGCAGGGAGTAAAAAGGGTTGAAAAGAAAATGATGTAATTATAGTACACAGAAGAAATTATCAAAAAATTAAATTAACAAAATAATGGATGGATTTAATAATATTAAACTGTTAATACATTAAAATGGCTGAAATGGTACAGTTATTGTCATGTATGTTTAGCAACAATTTTAGGAAGAAAAAAAACTTTCATTTTGCTCTTAGAATTGACCCAAAAAAAAAAAAAATTTGGTATTACCACCTTTGTGCCCATCCAGAGGCCATGAATTTAAAAGGGAACAAGGAAGGGGTGTGTTGAAGAATTTGGAGTGAGGGAAGAGAAAGGAGAAATAATGATATGAAATATATATGAGCTCAAAAAACTTAAAGAAAAATATATATGTTAAATTTTTTAAAGGAAGAAAGGCAGATTAGTAATTCAATCTACCTTTGCCTCTGTGTTGTCTATGTCTTCCCTACCTTGAGCCATTGGAATTAAATCCTAGGCCTCATGCATGCCAATTAAGCTATATTCCTATTTATAAAGTAAAATGTCAACGTGTACAAAGGATAAGTACAGACATGGTCACTGGCAAATGTATCAACACACATAAGTGTCATGCCCATGTGTGTGTGTGTGTGTGTGTGTGTGTGTGTCTGTGTCCATTTGTCTGTCTGTCTGTGTGTGTAAAATGGTGCAAAGAAGCGAGGTGGGGATGGGATCACATGAATATGCTTTATTTGATTGCTAAAAACAGAACAGGGAAAATGGAAGAGATATTTCTAGGTCTTGTGCAAAACAGGAGGGGAAAACTTTTTCTTTCAAAATGCATAGCTCACACACTGGATTTCCTATAGGGAGGCCCTGAGAGCAATGCTTATGATACGGACTGCAGAGTAAAATTTGAGGATAAAATAAAAGCCAACAAAAGCTTTTGCTTCTTATTTTTACACCCCTCAGAAGGATGTGGATTAGTCACGATGAGGTAAAAACAAACTAGTAACACCTGAGAACTAGTTAAAACTGGAAGCTACGGGCTACTCATGTTTCTTTATAGACAATTTACACTCTCACATAAATATAATGGCAGTTTACAAGAAAGCCAGTTAAACTAGAAGACCCATGCCACTTAAGTAGCACGAAAGACAAACTACATAGATGTTTCATTTGAGTTGTTTATTTAACCAGCTTTCCCAGAAACCCAAATGTGAAATGTTTCAAATAATAAAGAAACTAGTCATTTTCTACCTTTCCTTTGCAGATAAGAAACCCAGAAGCCAATGATCAGAATGGAGAAATTCATGCATCTCCAGAGACAAGGTCAGCTCAGACAGGAGCAACATAGTATTTCCCCTATCGTTGCTTTCTCCATTTGAAAAAAAAAAAAAAAGGCTGTTTCTTACCTGATCACAGATCAGCTCCCATTTTTTCTCATTGTCATACTGCCTCAGTAACCTGGCTTTGTCGGGAGGTAGGTTCATAGCATTCTGTGAAAACAAAGAGTAAAAGAATCGGTTATATACCACAGCACCTGACAGGTAGGAATCATTTCAATGCCTACGGTCCAGCATTTTAATGCCTATCATATGATTCACCTGCAGAAGTCATTCCCACACCGTTTGACTCATTTATATTAGTGAACTTTCATTTCCATACTCAGTGTCGATGAAGGAGCAACTTGTTTAAAACATGCATTTCAGCACAAGTGGCACTGTCCATTCATTTCATGTCAGCCTCCCTTTGTTAATCAATAAAGAGGTCAGACATGGCTTTTCAGAAAGCATGATTCCAGTGTAGATATGAAGACACCAAAAGAAAATTCAATGGCCAGAATCACTGAAAGAAAATATCAAGTTTGCACCAGATGACAGGCAGAGACACTTTCTATACAAGCCCGGCAACCTGAGTTCATCCCAAAACTCCGCATAAAAGTGAGGAGAAAACCAAATAAAAGGCAGATAAATAAATAACAGTAATAGCTGGACATGGTGGCACATGCCTGCAATCCTAGCACTCTGGAAGGCAGAGGCAGGAAGATCTCTGTGAGTTCAAGGCCAGCCTGGTCTACAAAGAAAAGGCTACACAGAGAAACCCTGTCTCAAAAAACCTTAGGTAAGTAAAATTAAGTAAGTAAGCAAATGAATAAATAAATAACAATAGCTCTTCTGTGCTCCCTGGGAAAACATGGCATACTTTCCAGACTTGATAATTACCCAATTAATTCAACCTTTAATTATGCTTGAGTATGAAGCTGAGCTTGTAGCGAGTAACAGACACCAAGGTCAACAAGATATTTCGACATCAGCCTCACACAAACCCTGCTGCTACCACAAGACATGTTCTACAGAGTTGAACATGGACTTGCCTGGATATAGGCATGTGTTATGACCCTGATGTCCCAAATACCTATCATACATATTATCAAGACCCTTAGCAACAGGACTTGGTGGCAAAGCCTGAGAGCCCAGAAGGAAGTCAGATCTGTCTGTGCCCTCTCAAAGTTCCCATGTTCTAAACACGTGAAATAAGTACTCACTTAAGGTGTTATTCTACTGATCACCCCATCCCAACAACAAAACATTAGAGTCATCCCTACTGAACCAATGCAGTTCCTTGACTAAGCCAAAACTTGGGAAGACAGGTGCAAAAGTCTTGATCTGTCAATGCTCAGACCCCCAACTCTCTGAAGGTTTGGGCTTACAACTAGACCACTCCTCCTGGCCTGGTATTTTGGGCTGCAGGGTAAATCGAAGTTAACAAAAGTAAGAGTGGGCAAACTATAGTGACGTAATGACTTGATGGGTTTTTTTGTTTTGTTTTTGTTTTTTTGAGACAGGGTTTCTCTGTGTAGTCTTAGCTGTCCTGGACTCTCTTTGTAGACTAGGTTGACCTCAAACTCGCAGCAATTCACCTGCCTCTGCCTCCCAAAGTTCGGGGACTAAAGGCATTCCGGGCAACTTGAAAGGTTTGACCCAAGCATTTCCCCTTAAACTAAGCCTAACATTCATATTAATACTCCTTAAATATATCTATTTATTTGAACCTAAGCCAGCAGATTTAAATTCTGATCTGCCTTCAGATCAAGTTTTTAAGGGTTTGTCTCTTTTAATGTTTGAATTACTTCTGCTGACAATGTATTTAGAAGAACAAGGACTACAGAGTTTTGGGTGGTACTTCTAAAGCTTCATAAATATTGAAATATATAAAATGGGGGAAATAGTTTCATGGGACCCAGCTTCTTAGAAAACTACTAAAACAGAATGAAAATGTATCTAACTGCATTTGTGACTCTGTACAGTTAAAAAAAAAAAAAGTTAAACAACCAACACTGGGATATGGCAAAGAATTCCATATATATCTTTCTTTGATGGAGGGACACAAGTTTATATACTGTTAAATAAACAGCCCTTCATTGCTTATTTGTTATTGACCCTCAGATAAGTACTCCTGGGTATGATTACTTGCAGTACAAGATTGCAAGATAAGTTAAATGAGTTTTCCCCTAAAGTCCTCATTAATCTCCAGAGATAGGAAGGAATTTTTTTAAATGCCTGAACTACAGGGTCCAAGCAGTTTATTAGGCATGAGGCATGTCTAATCTCAATCTTCCAGGCTTAAGCATGGAGGTTGATATGATTTTTCCCCAGCTGTATGGGGAAACAGGCCTGGGTGAACTTGGTTAACTTGCTTAAGCCTGCACAGACTCATAGGAATAAACCCTATTAAATTCCCAGGATTTATTCCAATGGTGCCACCCAGTTCATTTTGTAAATATAAAATGAAATCAAATAAAATGTCTAGTTACTTAAAAAGCTGTGCTAATCCTCTGATAAGCACTCATGTAAGCAGTTAACAATCAATCACCAGTGGGGGCCTTGTTGGTACAAAAAGAAAGCTAAGATGCTCCTTCGTGAGCTAACTTTTATTTTGATTAAGCAGTCTACTGTTTGATGAATGTTTATGAAGCACCGTCCCAGTATAAATACAATGCAATATGCTGGGTGGCACTGGGGAAAATTGAATATAAAAAGTTCCTAGAAAGTCTTTTATCATGGTGGGAGACAAAAGCTTTCCCAACTCTGGCAGGTCTTTACAGAAGTTATCAGAAGGAAGTTTGGATTAAGAATGAGAATACAGCTTCTGGGGAAAATGAATAATAGAAGCGCTTTTTTTTTTTTTTTTGGCGGGGTAGAAGGCTTTTTGAGACAGGATTTCTTTGCGTGGCCTTAGCTGTCCTGGACTCACTTTGTAGACCAGGCTGGCCTCGAACTCACAAAGATCCGTCTGTCTCTGCTTCCTAGAGTGCTGGGATCAGTGCTGGGATCACAGGCATGCAGCCTTGCGCCTGGCTGATAATGGAAGCTTAAACATGAGTCAGACAAGTAGAGTGGACAAAACCTGCTGAGCAGAGCAAAGAGAAATGAGGTGATGTGTAGCACGGCCAAAGAGCTGCAAGTATGCAGGGTGGCAGAAGGAGGCCAGGAGAGAAGGAGAAAAGAAAAGATGGTGAGGCAAAGCCACACCACTCGCAGAAATGCCACTCAAGGTCAGTAACTGTACTTAAATGTAAAGTGCAACATGAAGCCTACAACTGCCTACATGTTTGTCTACGCATGCATGTAGAGCCCACAGAGAACAGAAGAGAGCATCAGATCCCCTGAGACTGGAGTTACATTTGCAGTTACAGTTACCCAATCTCCATGTGGGTCCTGGGAAGGAAACCTGGGACCTCTGGAAGAGTAGCCAGTGCTCATAACTGCTGAGCCACCTCTCCAATCACTCAAACACTTTTAAACAAGAAAATAATATGAGCAAGTTGTTCTGCAAAGTTGCCACAAGTGTGACATAAAGAAATGATAGGGGCATGGGAGAAGAGGGAGGGAGGGTGGGACTGGGAAGGGATGAGGGAGGGGTCTACAGCTCAGATACAAAGTGAATACATTGTCATTAGTAAAAAATAAGTAAATTTTTTAAAAGAGAATAAAAAAAGAACCATCAATAATAGAGAAAGAAAGAAAGAAAGAGAGGAAAGAAAGAAAGAAAGAAAGAAAGGAAGGAAGGAAGGAAGGAAGGAAGGAAGGAAGGAAGGAAGGAAGGAAGGAAGGACAAGAGTAGCAAACATAGAAGCAGAGAGGCTGCGGAGGAGGCCAGAGCCGCAGCACAAATGAGTGGTGGTCATTACCAAAGGAACAAAGTGCACAGAGAGGGAGCTGAGCTTGTCAGATAAACCCTTACTTGCTGTGTACAAATGTGAGGACCACAGTTCATATCTCTGGAACCCACATCAAAATCATATGGATGGAGCAGCTCTCTGTAATTTGCAGCACTCAGGAAAGAGAGACCAGGAGCAAGATAGCTAGCCACATTAGTCAAACATCAAGTTCCAAGTTTAAAGAGATTCTGTCTCAGTATTTAAGATAAAAAAAAAAAAAGAAAGCCATTGGCAACCTCAGATATACACATTCACTGTCTGATGTGCAATCACACCCACTCAAAAATACATACACATATACACAACACACACACAGCATATCACATCACATAACTATCCACAAACAAAAATAGTTAATTTAGTTGTGGTTGAAAAAGTAAGTTTACCCTCCTAGCCACTTCCATGTGCCATGTGACTAAAGTCACCTTGCTGAGCAACAAATCTTCAGAGCTTTCATCTTTCAAAAGTGAAACTCGATACCCACTGAACAACTCCCCATTTCTCTAGCCTCGAAATTATAGGATACTTGCTACAAAAGGGAAGAAAATGTGATGGGCTGCAACCTGGAACTTGGGCATCAAGAATGAACTTCAGGAAGCCGATGAGGAAAGGGTAAGTGTGTAGAACCAGCCTAGCAGGATCCTAATCCTTACGCGGATGGCGGCGATGCACACAATTTGAATAGAAAGGCAAATAAAATAAGCAGCCCAAAGTTAAAAAATCTAGTAATTCAAAACAGAATCAAAGGTAAGAGTCAAAACAGGGCAAGAGGCACCATTTACTGTTGTTCTAATTATTTCAGGCACTTAAGCTCATTCCAAGCATTCTCCAACTTAGTCTGTCGTATAAGCCTGACAAAATGGGTATTGTCATTTCCAAGGCCAAGGGTTATATGTCTTTTGTCTGTAAGCATAAGGTTATTGTGTAATTCAAATGCTGATTCTATACCCCACCCCATATCAGGTTCTGACCCTTGTTCTGAGAATCTCCTGTCTCAGTGTTATATAAACACTGTTCCCCAATTTTCCCCTGATATACCAATAAAGCAATTTATAGCAATTGCTGAGCAAGAATAGAAAAGGACTAGACTTCCTGCCAGCCAGGGAAAGAGGAGTTAGAGGAGGCAGTATGGGATTCAGCCATGGGTAAGGTCCAGGTGACATCAAGTGAGAGTCTCTGGAACAAGAAAGCTACAAAGTGCAATCTCTGGGATATATGCTGGGAGGAAACCAAATTAGCCTAGAGGGTTAAGAACAGAGCAATAACTGCTCAGTT